CGATCAATCAATTCCACCGTTAGGATACTTGACCATTCCTTACACGTAGCACAGATATCTCGCCATATTAACCTTCCAGCCATGTCCACTTCCAATAACAATCCCATAGGGTCATACAGCGAAGAAAGTATAGCACAAGCCCTTCTTTTGTCACACTGCTCAGCGGGCATGTAACCAGAGAACATACACACAAGTTGATCCTTATCAAGGGCTAAAGTATAGCCGAGTAGATGGCCGTCATCATGCAGTTCCTCTCGACCTCCATGACAGGTTGTAAGATCCTTAAGTGGATCAGTGATCAACCCATGTCCCTTAAAGAAGTGAGTTACGAACTCCTTACTCGACCGTGCTTCTTCTGCTGTATCTCCACCAAAGAACAAGTCGTCCACGAACTTCTCGAACATCACCTTCTTAGGTATTGGGGGTCCATCCTTTATATAGTTAACCCCTTCCTCCGTAGGAAATAGGAGGATCTTATATACCAAGTCGTCGTTCAGAATGTTCGCGTTGACTGATTCCTTAGAGTTCATCGATACCAACCTTACCAGTTGTGATATCTCACCGGTAATATCATAAGAGCAAGCCTCAAGCATGCTCGGTGCTGTAGTACTCCCGAAAGAGATCCTTTCCCAGAGAACCGTATAAGGTCCTATACACGTATACGAGGTATACGGTATATCTGGGAGAGCAGCAACCATCTGACAGAAAGCCTTTGATACGTCGGACCCAATCAAATGGCGAAATCCCCTAACATGGAGAAGTGCCCCAAGTAGATTGTTTTGGGACCGTCCACCCTTGAAACAGAACTTGTTGAGTTCCCTAAAGTCCAGGACTATCCGACAGGGGGTAGTGACATGGCTGTCCCTAAACACCGGGTGAGCCGGTGTGAAGTGCCTTGGCAACGTCACTACTGATCCCTCCAGAACGCTGTCCTTAACCAACAACTCCCACACCCTTTGACACTCGGTAGCTGTGGGTATCATACGAAATTGGTCGACCCTATTATCCTTCACAATACCGCAGAATCCTCTTTCTATATATTGTTGGAGCGCCTTCTCAAACGAGACCTTCTGAACATCATTCAGCCTATCGAAGGCCCTTGCTCCCCTCTCTGCTGCTTGTCGATAATTCATCTTGGGTCTCCCTTCGTTAATCCACGGGACTCTCATTATTGGCCTGCCAAGTATGGCAATACCATCATAGCACCATACCCTCTCTAAAGCTTCCCATGGAGGCTTGGTGTCTAGTAGAGGTCCTTGATCATCTTCTACCATTTCGTTGAGAGTGTCAATACCATCATCTATTTTTTGTGAGGAGTTTAAATCTTCCATCCTTTCACCCCTAGTATCAGAGTCCCTGTCCACGAGTTCGTCGTCATTGGGGCCAGCAACACAAGATACCTTACTGGTTCTCCTCTCTACCATTGACGAATCTTGACAAGGGAACCGTGACCAATACCATAAGGATGTAGGGCTCTCAAGTTTCTCCACGGTGACGTAATCAGCATTCACTCCTTGAACCTTATCCGCTCTCACCAACTGATTTATAATATAGACCTGATAGTTCACCAATATTTCATTTGTTGGATGTTCCCACCCTTGAAATATTTCTTCAGGGAAATAATCAACCTTATCGGAGAACTTCACCTTCCCTTTAACTTTAATAGGATCCACAGGTCCCACGTTGGTCTGGATATAAGTTCCTTCAGAGGTGACGTGAATAGATGTCTTCAATTTTGCCAATGTTGGACATCCTAGTAACAGCGGGACAGTTAAACAGTCATCAGTGACTATAAACTGATCCTTAATAGAAATATCAGGTGTAGTAATACGTAACATAACCGCACCATATATCCTCAACTTACCACCATCTGCCACGACAATGGGAGGGGTAACCGTAGTATCGATAGCACCATCCATACCAAGCCTCTCTAATGTAGATATAGTGACTAGCGATAATTCGGCTCCTGTGTCGAAGAGCGCGGTAATAGTCTCTCCTTCAATCTCAACATCCCCTATAACCATAGCCATTTTCTCCTTACAAGATAGATTAAGGTGATACCGTTCTTCTAAACCCTGTAGACCACCAGAAAGTGTAAATATCCTGAATGGAGAATAAGTAGCACAATGCACCTTCGCCTTATCTGGGCGATTAGTTCTCATAGGGGATGGACTCCTTGAAGACGTCAGACCTTTGATTCTCCCTCTACACACATAGGCCAAATGACCAGCCAAACCGCATCTGGCACACGTAGCCCTCTCAACTTGGATCTTGCAGTCATCCAATCTATGCCCTGGGCTCCCGCACCTTAGACACCTCTCATCTAAATCCCTGGGTTCTTCAGCTGTGCACCTTTTTGCAGAATGACCTTTACCCAAGCAGCGATAGCACTTGAACTCGGCCTTATCTTGCCCCATGGCAAAGACGTGACACCTTCGCATACTGCTTGCCGAATCTTCACTATCGGATGCATGTAGAAGTGCTTGTACAAACTTCGATCCTTTTCGGTCATGACTAGGACTCCTAAACCGCTTTCTCTCTTCAGGTTCATAACCATTTCCCATAGCGTAGTCTTCATCAATCATCTTCGCTATTTGGTACATACGCCGATGCTTGGTGAGAACCTTCTCGCGGAACCGTTGATAGCTCACCTTAGGGTCTGATACATAATCATCCAACTTGATTCGCAATTCCTTATCCGCTAAACCCGTATATAGCCTCCACTTTAGCATATACTCCAAGGGTGGAGCACCCAAATGATATAGCTCAGTAGATAGCCTCTCGAGTCGCTTAGCAAACCGATGAACCGAATCCTTACCTTGCGTACATAACTGGAAAGCCCTATTGGCACGCTGTAAGTGCTCGTCGGTATCATATATCTTCCTAAACCTTCTGCAGACCCTTTCCAAATGATAGGCGAATGACTTATAGCATCTGTGCGGGGGACTATCTCTATCAGTAACCTTACCCCACACATCCATATCCGTGTGGTGTTTCAGCCACAAATATTGAACCACTTCAGAATGACCTTCAGTAGTTCGTTCCATTTCTTCGATCCATGTCGTACCAGACCGTATATCTTCTCCGCCATTATACCTTCTTGCTGGCCTAAGCTTCATAGCCATCTGCTCGGCCGAGTCGTACTCCTTGTAGTGGATCTTGGTCCGACACTCTCTTGTGGCACAGACATCACACTTCCGAGAGGATCGTACAACCCTACGTACTGGATGGAAGTGTCCACCGCCTGTTAGGCGATGCTTCACCCCATAATCACTATCCTCCGAACTCGAACGATCTACTCGATTGCTCGATCTCGGTCTTTTACCCTTACTATCCGAGCTCGAATCCGAGGATGTCGGGTCGCTCGAAGGGGATCTTCTCCTCCTACTTCTCCTTCCACCATACTTATCCCTTCTCGATCTATCACTCCCACTTCCAGAGCTCCCATCATAAGGGTTGTATCGCTTTCCACTCTCTCCATATCTCCTCTTATCATTTGCAGTATCCCTCTTATTCTCATCGTTCACCTTATCTTCTTCATACTCTTCCTTTCTCTCCTGCTTATTGTCAGAGGCGTTATGGAGTCTCTGTTGCCCGCGTTGATCATCGTTGCCGTCCTCGGGGTAATCCTTATTGGTAACCCTATCAACACGTTGATCTTGAGTTAATTCACCGTCTTCCTGAGCGTCCCCAGGTTGATCGGTTGTAGTTGACAAGAATGGCTCATGGGGGCCTTGGCCGTCCTTGTCTTCTACTTGAATACCTGAACACTGAGAAGACCGATACTTATCGATCACCTGAGGTGAACAGATAAATGGGGAGGAAATCATCCCCTTAGTCGATTCCGGCTCAAAGCCGTATTTACCTTTTTCCGCTTGCAAAATAGTAGTTGAATTAGACGAACTGGAGGACGAACCTCTAGTCCCTTTGGTTACAGTATGACATAGTAGTGGTCGTAGTTGAACTCCTGACTGCATAACCGTATAGTCATCTTCCCTACGACTTGTCTTGTCAACAACCTCTCCGTAACCATCCTCACGAGAAAGTCCTTCTACACCATATGGGGGGTGGTCGGCATTAACAGATACTCGAGTACCCGCTTGTCCATCAATCTCCGAGGCACGACCGTCGATCATAGAATAATCGCTCAGAGAAGAGCATGTGGAACCGTAACCTTTGAACCCTTCAAACTTCGGGCAGGCTACCGCCCCAACCAATACTCGAGCACCCTTCGCTTGTTCATCACGCAAGCATACTAGGTTTGGTACATTGTCATCGCTTTCAACAAGGCTACGCCCGCAGGCGTCATCGGCGGGTTTGACGAGGCAGGGACGCACCGACCAATGGCTCCCATCTAATAACGACAACCTCGGACCTGTTCCAAGTGCATAGGCTAGGAAACTACCTAGCATCTGTACCCTAAGTAGCCTTCCAGTGGGCGTGACATCATCGCAGATGGCATCGAGAGGATGCCCGTTTCCACTAGGAGAACCCTCACAGGCGTGATCTAGAATGCACTGTGAAGACCCTAAGGAGTTGGGGAACTTGGCGGGCACGCAGCCAAACTCCTGGTGTGCTCGGGGGTACTGACCTTGTCCATCTGACCGTACCCTGGACCTATGGCTCCTTGCCCAACGCCCGGTCCACATAACTCGGATCAACGGGACGATACAGGCGCTAGCGTCCTCTTCCAAACTACGGAGGGGAACGCCCTGAGTTACAAGGGCGCGAGATGTGGTGATATCTACCACCCTTGATGAATCTTCTTGTAGCTCACCACAACTATCCGACCTTACTGTGACCTTATAGGGCGCCTCAATGACCTTATCAGCCCCAAGTTGGGCCAGTTTGTATGCCATAAACGCCAAGCCACGTAACCATTCACAGGAATCCCTTGGTAGCCCCATATCTACCCTTGGATACCATACCTTCGGTAGCCTCGCATTAACCACCATGGGGATGAACCCATGCTGTCGCCCTTGCTCCTCTGGACCATCAATGATGTCATTTATATCACCAATAGGTTGGGGGGGCTCCACTTCGGAACTTGCCAATAAACCGAGCGGCCTTAGAGCCTCCTCCAAGTCAGTGCGGTTGTTAGATACATTCTTCTTGATACCATCATACCCCAAGCTCCGATCCAACAAGATATCGGTCGATGTAACCCTTCTCACAGACCTTATATCACCAGTAACCGTAGATCTGTAGTCGGGAAGAATCCCGGTAGGATACGCGCAGCGGTGGTCCTCCCTATGAGGACTCGGGTAACTAGTGGGAGTAACCGAGGTACCATGGGTTGACTCCCTTTCTGCACACTGCGCATGAGAAGCATGACTCGTCTTTTCCTTAACACGTCTACGACGTACCTTGACTATAACATCAGTGTCACGATTACGTGGCACTTCGGTAGTCTTTCCTGAACGTGTAACAACCATTCCGAACTCAGATAACTCAAAGCTAGACTCCGTTAATATATATCGACAATCCGTAGCGACAACCTTAGTCCTCAGATGACTCAAAAACCCTAAACCCATAAGGGTTCGCAAAACCATAGCGAATGATCCCGTGCCCAATAGAGTGCAATCAATGGCCGCAAAACTATAGCAACACAATGAAGACCCTATTATCCATATCCTCCTCATATAGATATGGATCCCTATGTAAGCTAGTATAAGTCAGTAACTAGTAAAAGCCTTGTATAGAACTTATACCGGACTCAACTTAGCCTAACTTAACTTATAAAAGCCCGTACGTAAACACACAGCAGCGTGAAAGCAGCACGCATGTACATAAAGTAGCGCTCGCCTATGACCAGCATCACAGAATCCTTAGTGTCATACCTCGCGCCGTACGGACGCGCGCATCGTGAGCGTCACGGCCAATCATGAATATGCTTGTCGAGCCAGCCTCGACAATGCATCAGCATCGGCCGCATACCTACGGGATGTGACTGGCTCCTACAGCTGTGGTCCGGTGGACGAGATACTGACTCTTGCACAAAGTCTCCGTCATGTCCGCCGAGCGAGTTCGGCTAGCACCGAACCACAGCTCAATGGGTATACTCGTTCGACAGACGATGTACTCGAATGGATAAGGGAGCTAGCCCTGAACCCATTCAGCCGTAACCTTCGCGGGTTCGACACCTCGTGCCGTCGACAAAAACTTGCTACGGTTGCGGTCTGTCCGCCTCTCTCTCACCCTTCGTCTGGACAGCCCGTGATCTCGTAGTGGATTTTGCGCTGCAACTGATGAGCAACATCAGATTAACTGAGAATGGCACCTTGCTGCTCTTTGTGGACTAGAATAGGTCATGACCTCGCTTCGGCGTATTGCGACTATAGTAGAATTGTTCCAGCTTGAACTCCTTTGTTGGAAAGCCCGGGTGTTGTTGTTGTTGTTGTTGTTGTTGTTGTTGTTGTTGTTGTTGTTGTTGTTGTTGTTGTTTTTGTTTTTGTTGTTTTTCTCGTGTTAGGTCCACTCAGACTATCCAGACGGGAACGACGCTTCCGCTCAGAGTAAGTTCCAGCTGGCCATGGGTGCCGTAGTGCAAGCTGATAAATTCGTCGAGACATTCGAGTGATAGTAATCGACTGAATATCAACAGTGTGGCCGAGACCGACAAGCTGGTGGTAGCATGCTGCTACTAGCAGCAGCGAGACTGGAGTGTCTGTTCGGATTAAGTTCCCTTCTGGCATGGCCAGGCTTCAGAGAATGGCATTGAACTTCCAGGGAGCGATAGCTAACTAGCTAGACTAACCGTTACCACACCATGCGTCCCTTTTAATTAGCTTCAAGTTACTGCGGCTCGTGTGTGATTGGGTTAGAACTCATCGGAATTATATCAGAACACGACAGGTCGTCATCATACAATACGCGCAAATGCAAATTATGGAGTACTTGCTCTTGATTTCAATCAGTGACTCGAGAACGGCGGCAAAACGCAAGAACGTGATTCATTCGAAATAGAATATGAACATCACCTTTGACACACTGCTCAGACTGAAAGCTTTTGCGACTTGTCCTGGGATTTCACAATAGTACTATCAGAGTTCTTTGTGCATCTACAGTGTTGTGTTGAAGAATAGTTTACAACTGTATATTCTCGCTACATCCTCTATGTGTACTACACATATTGTGTAGTGCTCCCGGCCTGTATAGACCGTTTACTAGAATCAGCAGCTGATCATCAGCTGAATTATCACCACTCTTAGAACTCGACGGATACTGTGACATAGGAGAAGGTAATTAAAATTGAGCTTGTAACTAATTCATACATTACGATGAAACTTCCGCAAAAACGACTAGCTTTACGCTAGGGGACAATACACAAGGACGCTAAAGTATCATTGACCTGCACAGTGTGCAGGTCAATGATACGTGTCACGTCACAGAGACAGACGAACACAATGATGTATCATAGCAAATGAGAGAGGCGGTTTACAACAATGCACGTAATCGTAAGCACTGCTAGACACCCTTCCTAAGCGTTTATGGAGTAGAAGTGTAGCAGGTCACAACTGTTGTGTGAAGCTACACTCGTCGGAAATAAAACGACGCAAGTTCTGCAAAAAAATGCACCATGAAGTCTCTTGCTCGAAACATGCTCTTTCCATCATCTTAAAATATCATCTCGGGAATTCGGCTAGTGATTCAAACAAGATGCGCTTTAAAATTTGAGCCCTTTATGGCCAAGTTGTTGTGGTTGATGAATCTTCTCTCCTTGGCGCTAATTTCATCATCATCCTACTGCCGGTCTATCAGCAAGATTTTCAGCGTACTCCTTCAGGGAAGATCGGACAGCAGAAATTTCGAAATACGGCATATTAAACCAATGAAGGATGAAATGCCCGGAATTGTCGATATTAGGGTGAATGAACAGATGACTATTCGGGGACCATCGTACATGATCAGGATGCGAAAGTTGAACAACAGACAGTATCAGAGACTTCCATATTATGCGAGTTACAGAGCCAAGATGATATGGCAATGTTATTATACATTGATCGAAGTACTGGGAGCAGGAGGATAATCAAATTGATATGCCCAGCTGTAGACTATGATACTGTGGACTCTGTCGAATACATCCCTGAGACTGTGAAGTGAGTTCATTTCATTTTGTAGGAGTTCAATTGCTGCTGCTGCTCTCAGCTCGGACCCACATGAGTTCCAAATCATGACCCTGCAATACTTCATAGATCAGATGAAGTTTGCTCCCATCGACGATGAGAATCAGAGCAGTGCATGTCGTGAAACCTTCCAAAAGTTGTTCGATGTTCATGCTTCCCCTCTTGTCAAGACGACGACGGCTCCTATCACTGAGAGTCTTTCCCAAGACGAAGACCGAACCAGCGCAAACTCTACTGCTGAGAGCCCGGAGATTGAGGCGGCTCCTCTTAGGCGCTTGAACTACGAGTTTTGCGATGCTGCGCGGAATGCTGAAACCTTACCGGAAGATCTAGAAACAAGTGCATATTTCAAAGATGTGAGTGTCAACCTCCACACCAAGTGAGATTAATGCGACACCTCAGGGCTGGAAGGTTGATCAAGTTGTCGACAGAGATCGTGGACGAATGAAGTGTACGATATCCAGAAAGCGGGGATGGCTTGGATACCACTCCAGGAAGGTGGAGATCATCGCAGCTGATGATGCAGTAAAATGCGCCATCGTCCGAGGAAAGGAGAGAGAACCCATTGAGTGAGATCAATTATCGTCATTCATTAGAACGATTTATATATACATATAGTATATTTACATATATAGTTCATATATTTCCCTTTGAAGTTCAAAGATACCATTGAAAAGCGCTCGCCAAGATCTTTCCAATGATCTATGTATCTCTCACTGGGAAATTCGGCGAATTCGTCAAGTTACAGACAATAGCACTTTTCATTAGAGGCGCCCTGTAGTATCGAATGACGTAAGTGCGAATGTTCCTAACATGCGGGTTTCATCGATCCACTCAGAGCCAGAAGAAAAATTAATAATCCAAAATGTTAGCATTGACGCATTCTGTGGACTGTTCTGTGCGACTCATACAGTGTGAAACTCCCCTCCAAAACGCTTCCGAGTATCTTCAAGTGTAGCCACCACATCTCTCGTTAAATGATCAGGTTGAGCGACTTCATAGCGACTTCGAATGTTCCGAGAGACCGATACATGACTTGTGAAGAGCTCATCAACAGCATATATCGAGGGCTCCCGAAGGAAGTTGCTTCCCCCCTAGTCGTAAACTACACTGACCGACTACAGGAGGTTTACAATATGTTCTGCAAAATTGTAGGTGTTCGATAAACTCATCGTAAACAGGTGTATGTTAAACCACAGAAGGGTTATTGTGTTCGACTGTTCTCGCTACAGAACACTGTGAGCATACACTTCATTGTACTTGCAGGATTACACCTTTTTCAATCTCAAATTCAGCCAATGCAAGAGCGAATTGAAACAATGAAGTTTGATTCTTGGATGGATGGAATTTTTCTTCACAGAATGCCAGTTCGATTTTCCTAGAACGCTCGAAAGTATAACTTTACATTCGTGAATGAAATTGATCAATTCGCATACAAAAATTTTAACTAGCCAAACACAAAACCTTCTTTCAGCACATCTCCCTATGCACTACGCACATTACACGAGTTGTACGGAGAGTACTTGCGTTTGGTGAATTTTAACTTTTTCTTCCAAATGCATAAATCCCATGAGCGGTTTACGAAAATCAACAATTCATCATTTCAACTCGAGCTTTCATTTCCTGAGTCTGAGATTGAAAAAGTGAAGAAGCCAGATGCACTAAGACGATACCACGCCAAGAACATCAACCAGGGGCTAGTTTATATCATATATCTACTTTATATGATTTATTGAACTCCTACGAATCACATGATACGGACGAGTTGTGATAGCCAAAGAAGGGCAGATTTTTAGTTCTTTGGATGAGATGGAATGAGTTATTACCCAACTCTGTGAACTCAAGCTGAAACTGATATGAAAAGTGATTGGGTATGAGTCAATTGAAATATCATCTAATTCGCATGTTACGTCGTGTTCATAGCGATAAAGACGACAGTCGCAGTGCTATATCAATACTCTCAACAGCCACCAACACCATCACCACCAAGAAGCAAGAATGCTCAATAGTCTACTTAACCATAGACTCAGTTGAGGCAACCAACAAGCTCGACTAAGCAACAAGCGACAACGTGAAATACGATGAATGCAGAAATGATAATAATAACAATCTCAAGATAGTTCCCAAACTCGATTAGCCTACATCGACTACATCCAAGTGATGTGTCTTCATACGCGATAACTTTGTACAGCGACTTAGCGCCGACATACTAATCTCTACCCTTAGGCGTGCATAATGATAATTTCTACCCTCTACATAGTGAATTTGGGTTGTTAATAATACTAACTGAATCTAAGGGTGGATATCACAACTTTAAGCGTCGATGTAGTGATTATGATGCTGATGATGTTGTGGGACTACTGCAAGGAGGTTCAAGTTATATCAACGTAGCATCAACAGCATAAAGCGGGAGAAGACGTGGGATAGTAGACACCCC